CCTGATGTTTATCTGATAGTTCAACTTACATCTTGCAATCAAACACACCTGTGGTAAGTAAGGTTGCCATGGCATCAAAATTACAGTTTCTAGTTATTGAAATTATTTCTTTCCTAAAAATTTTCAAATTTTGATATCTACTATATATTTAAATTAGTGTACTCAATTTTTAAGCGTTTAGGGATTAAATAATCCTGAACTGGTTTGAAACACCTAAATAAAAAAAGGTTTTCAGTTATAAATCATTTAAGGTAGCACTGACCCTTAAAGAGCACCCCTAATATTTCAAAAATTTCATTTTTCAAATTTAGCCTAAATCACAAATTTAACCTCTTTTTCTACATAAATAACTTTTTTCTTAAAATCTTTACTAATTAACCTGTAGTAAGTTATTAAAAATAAAAGTCTAGTTTGTTTTCATTTCTTTTGACTCCAACCCACAGCATCACCATGGTCTGAAGGGAGTAGATAGTTGGTGCAATTATCAAGTCAGAAGCAAACAAGGAACTTGTGAACTGCCATTATAAGCATACCATAGCACCAGCTGTAATGACCAGCATCAAACCAATATTTGACAGACTCTATAAGCCAACTTTGCTTCAAAAATGCTTGGATTGCATTACCCAAAATCTTAATGAGTCACTGAATCACATGATCTGGAGAAGATGCCCCAAATCTTCATTTGTTGGCAACAAAACTATTTGTTGAGGTGTTGCTGATGCTGTGTCCACTTTTAATGAAGGTAAGGCATCCAAAATAAGAGTCCTTCAAGCAATGAAAATGCCTAGAGAAAATTGATTTTAAAAGGGTGAAAGAAGTAGAAAGGGCTTCGTCGAAGAAAGGAAAACAGGAACGCGCGTCTCGTAGAAATATCAAGAAGAGCTTTGAGGAACCTGCTACCAAAAAAGAAGGGGATGTTTATGTTTCAGGGGGATATTATACGAGAAAATGACATTAAGATGGCTCCTAGTGCATACAATGGGATTGAGATATTTTAAAGGTGGTAAATGCACACGTTTAATAAAAGCTAACCAACATTTAAGGAAAACTTTTAACAGCTATTTTCTTAAAACTTAGTTTTCACTGGGGTCACCAATTTATTAGCATAACTTCACCATTAAAGCCAATATCAGCATGAAATGTAATACACTTGTTGATATTACAAACTCTTTCATAGCTTGAATTTTTATAAATTCAAAAATCTTTACCAATTGTCTTGAGTTTAATTAACACTAACAAAGGCATTAATTAAAATTGATTTCCCATAGCTTGTTAATGTTGCAGAAAATTTGCAAAGTTTTTAATTCAAAATTTGAGGATGTTCACAAACAGCATGTGTATCAATTTTCACATATTTATCGTTCCTAAGTAAAGTTTATGTTATGTTTTTCTTTATCCCTGATGCATTAATTATGCATATAACGTATATGACTGAAAGTGTACTTTCAGAGATTGCAACATCATACTTCTGTGCTCAACTTGAAGGTTATAAAAAGTGTTTCTTCAGCATGTAAATTTGCCTAGTTTTAAGCTTCTAACAATACCAATCGTGCTTTTTACAAGAAAAGCTACCATTCCAATACTATTTAAGTTTCACTTTTTAACCCTAAAATAGTGAGTTGATCATATAGAAATTTCTGTTTTGGTGGCAATTTTGAACAAGAGAAAATCTACTAGACAAATTTTGAATAAGTATAGAATTTGAGTCTTTTGCTTTGAAAAATGCAATGAAACTATAAAAATGTTGTTTTGATGTTAATGAAAAGTCTTCCAAAACAAGGTTGCTTTTGCCCAAGTGCATGCATTTTGAGTTTGATTTGCTTTTAAGAATGGTTTCCCACATGTTCACGACATCTATGGCACTCTTTAGAAATAACAACTGTTCTTCTACTGTTTCTTATGACTTTATGATTAATCATACCTAAGTCTGCAAACTACTGAATGATCTAAAACAATGAAAGTGGTAACAATAAGAAAAACAAAGTATCTTATTCTTATTATTCCTCCCATTTCAGTTGTCCTGTTCTCTTTTGATTGGATTCTAATGTTTTTGGATGGCCTCATTTTCTGATCTTTTCAACAATAATCTACAACATTCGCACAACATCTCACACCATCTAACCTTGCACTTGCAACTGAGACTAATATAATTATGACTTTTGGACATTTTTACAATGTACATTTACAAGTTTGGCATTGAAAACAGATCTTATATAAGTTACTTTGCAAGAAACTTGACACTAAATAGGGGAAAAAAAAACTCATTTTCAAATGAAGATTTTTCTGCAAGAGGTGAAACAATGAGAACACAACTTGTGATGTTTGAAAGCTTGAATCATAAATCCTAGTCAAAAAGCAATTTTAACACTTTTAATCATTTGCCGGATACTGTGATGACCAAAGCAAACTAATTTCTTTATAATCGACTCCCAATTTTAGGGTTAAAAACAATTTAATAGTTTTCTTTCTTCCAAACATAAATGCATCATATAGTTACTTTTTTCATGTAAAATTGAAAAACTCATTCTTTCTTACTAGTTTCTAACAGGTTATCTTATTATGAATTAGAGAGTGAAATTAATATATGGTTAAGATATAAATGAAATACACATACATCTTTTAGCTCATTTAAAATTGTTTTGACAAAAAAATAGGGTATGGACATTTTCAGGATCTAAGCAGTTACACAACTGTATGTTGCCTCTGAAACATAAAATAGTGAATGAAATCAGAATAAAACTCATTTTGAATAAAATTTCACAACTCATGAGATATCCATTACTGTAGTTAATCAAATAATTTGTTGGTTTTTTGTTATATTCTATGGTATTTTAAATTCACATGATAAGTATTCTCACAAAAATTAAATATTACATGATTTAATTTTTTATTTTCTACAGTGTTTTATTATTAATACAATAAGTAGTACTGAAAAAATATGATATAGTTAATACCATTGTGAATAACCTCAGCAACCCTAGAGGTAAGGTTTTGAGAGAAAGTTCCTCTTTCCAAATTCATATTGGCTAACCTAGACAAGTTTCATTTGAATTGCATGTTTGGTTACCATTTCTTCATTTATCTACCTTCCAGTTATTAATGTTTTATAACTGTAATGTGCATCTGCTAAACTAGTTTTCATTTCTAAATTGCTACTATTTTTTTTTTTTTTTTTTACATTTGACTAAGCACTCACTCACTGCAACAGCAAAGCCTTAGACAATTTAACAAGCTTTTGTGATATACTATATTACAGAAAAGTTAACAATTAACAACTGTTTTTAAATGTTTAATATTTAAATATGAACCATAGAAGGAATGAGAAGCATGAAATTTTAATTTGTATTGAAAATACTTTTATGAATGGACTTTATACAAATAAAAACTAAAAAAAATAATGGCACTACATGATCTATTGATCATCTGTGGGCTAAAGGAAAATAATCCCTATTCAATAACACTAACAATAATGCAAAATATATAAATGCACCACTCCATACTGGTTAACATTCAGTGGTGGGTTTTCATTTATTAATAGCAGTAAAATAGATATTGTTGAAGTAATGATTACTCTGAATTACAAGGAGCAGGGTGAGGTTTATCAAATAATTTCCATAGGGTAATGTCAAAGTAAGTTTTTGCTTTATTATTCATGACCATGGTAATGTTAGAGATACTTCTCTGCTTTTTGTTGTCAAGTGATGACAGATAATTTAAGTATGATAAAAAGTGTCTGCTCATCTATATAGTACAATTCACTTCATAATTCTTTTCATCAAAAGCTATTGTATAGAAGCCTAAAATGTGCTTCACTTATATATTTTTTAAGAGTTGATAACAGGGATCAGTCAAATTGGGCACTCTTGATTTTAAGTACTTGAATATGTGCTTACTGTTTATTAGCTACTTTTATATAAATTTTGTACAGTAAGAATGAGACTGCCCTGGTGTCTCAGTGCTAGTTTTTATGGATTTGGGGAGGACAAGTAACTTCTCAAACTATAAAAGAATATTTGCTTTACTTCACATGGCACTGCTGAAATTTTGGCACAACTCTAAGAAAGAACCCTTTAAAAATATATTCCAGAATGCTGCTTTTCAGTTCTATGTGATTATATTGTTCTTTCTTTTATAGTTATGCCCAATGTGTGAGAGTAATTTAATCTTTCAAGTTCAAAATGGTTGGCCTTCAATAAATTTATTAATTTTTGCTAGGACAGCAATACATATTTTTAGTTTTTGTTACTCAGCCTAAAATAAACTTTATGTAGATGTTACGAAGTGACTGTATATGTAAGTATACTAAATGTATTGTTCTTTCATATACACTTAAGTATTAGAAAGATATTTCAGTTATTTTATGCGAGATGCATTCTATATTGAGAAAAACAACAAAAAACTCATTGTTGCTGTAACCTATTATACTTACCTATCATTTTAATAGGCTTTTAAAGCAGTAAAAAGCTGCCTCCCATCAAAGCAAAAAGGAGAGGAAAACTAAGTACGATGAAAAGATGGTCTGTAGCATCCATGATGTAAGGTAGGCTGGTGAGAAACAAGAAGCCCAGGCCTTTCAAAGGTTTGACAATCATTCATTGCAGTGTCTTTTTGATTTTATAACATCTATTTGTGGAAAATGAAATGTTAAAAAATGAGACTATGCAAAAAAAAGGGGAAAAAACAAGCAGTGCAAGCATATAATTTTATTTTGCTCAAAGCGTATTACAGTAAAAACTATCTTGTTATACTCAACAAAAGAGGGTCATCTCTGTAAACCCTCCATATCAAACCTTATTCTGGATGTTTGTCTGCAGAGCACATTTACTTCGCAGCACACTATTCACTGAAATTCTGTAAGAAAACCATAGAGTTCCTGAAAATAAACTCAATTAGGGTTGGATATGAAGAAAAATATTACCATAAATCACCAACTTAAACCTTTAAAAACTAGAAATAAGGGATCTCAGGGTTTTTTTTAAAAAAAAAAGACTTCACTTTACCTTCTCACCCTCAAGCTGATTGAAGATAAAATCTATAATCACATCATCTTCTATTCCGAGCAGACTTGTGATCTTTTTAGTGATCCATGGCTTGATGATATCCAAGTTCACTTTTCTCATATCCACCTGGCAAACAAATGTTACATATATCACATCAACTTCCAACTTTACAAAACACTATACAAACTGTACAATGGATAAAGTATTTTTTATTCTTCTCATAAACATCACCACACACCCTGATTTGTCAGATTCAGACTGACATTGTCAATTCAGAGACATAAAATTTTGTATTTTACTAAAAACTTGCCATATTTTGTGTAGTACACATACTAAATTCAAAATTATAGTCAACATTCCTTCTTCAACATAGGGTCAATCCAGTGTCTTGATACCATATACACACTCAGTTAACTAAGAAATACCAAGAAATGTTAAAATTAAATATAACATTGTATATATGTAACTACTGTTCACCAACGATTTTCAAAAGAGACTTGTAATTCAAATAACAAACTTAAAACTTTTTTATTATTTAACTTTACCTTTTTTTCCAAGATTTCATGGAACTTTAATTGCTTTAATAATTTATTTTGCTTGTTGCTGAACCGATTGTCCTGCTCAGCACTTGTACCCTAAATGAAAAAAACAAAACAATTTAAGCCCTATGATTACCAACATGGGTGCATTATAAAATCACAGTTTTAAGCAATATGTCTGTGACACACAAAAACAAGACATACATAAATCATGCTGGCTGTACATGTATGTTGATATTTTCATTATAGGATGGTTAACAGCAGGTTAACATAAAAAATTCTTTGTTCATAAATTTCAAATAAGATTGATATCTTATTTGGTGTGATTTTAATGACAAAATTTACAATAAAATACAACAATATTCAGGTACAATGGCTCATTAACCCCTAAATCACTAAATACTTATTACTAAAACAGTAATATTACTTAAGTAACTAATATTTTATAACACTGTTTAAAATACACCAAATTAAAAAATATATACAGATGGGTGTTTGATGTAATGAATGGTAGAGTCATCATGGACCAAAGGGCTCTTTACTGCCCTTCAATTGTTATTTAACAATGATTGTGATTATTAAACAATGATTTTGCAGAAGTGTAATTCATTACACTTGTAGCAAATATCTTTGTTTTCAAGTAATTTAATCTAATGATTAAAATGTCAGTTCCAGATAAATACAAAAGATATTTTTTATTAACTGCACAAATCAACAGTTTTTAACTCTTTCCAGGCCAGAATCTCATGTTTCTTAAAAGTGGATACAGCAACATTAAGTTTAAAAAATTTACATATAAAACTTTAAAACAAGTATTAAGATTTAGAATTTAAATGAGAAATGACATTTATTAACATTTCATTTGAATAAAGTATTAGAAAACAATCTAAACTGTTAACCCTAATTTTGAATTTTTTTTATTCTTCCCTTCTAAATATTTTCCACTACATGTAATTTTACTATATTTTGAAATTATTCAATACATTTTGTACAACTGGTGTGTAAACAATATTTTCATAAATGGGTGGGCATTATATTCAGGCAAATACAGTAGTTGAAAATCTGTGTTTCTTTTATATTGTTACGACAGCGGAAGTTGCATGACGCTGGAGTTTCTAGAATTATCGGGGAACCCCGCGAATGTCCGAGTGTTTGCTAGACACCCTCTTTTTTTTTAGTACATAAGCCTGGCAAAAAAAACCAGCGCAATTGCAGAGATAGATAATTGAGTCAAGCGAACAGTATGCACGATAAGTAAAGTGTGTGAATCACTGTGATTTGTAGCGTGTGTTATAAAGATTGTTAAGTTTAAAGTGACTATGTAAATTCTGTGTATTACTAAAAGTTGTATCGAGAAAGAATAAATTGGTTTAGTCAAGAAAAACAATTTCTACCAGAAATTAACAGACAAACAGAAACGCAACAAATTGGTGTCAGAGGGTGGGGCGAAAAAAAAGAAAAAAGAGATGGAAACAAGAAGTGGCAAATCAAAACTATGATTAGCAGATTTGATAGCAGCAATACAAGAACAGCAAAAGAAACAAGAAAAGAGACTACAGCAGTGGTTGGAAGAGAAAGAAAAGAAACAAGAAGAATGAGAAAAGAAGCAAGAAGAGAGACAACAGCAGTGGCAAGAAAACTTGCAACAGTGGCAGCTTGAACAGCAATATAAACAAGAGAGATTACAGCAGTTGTTGGAGGAAAAAGAAAAGAAACAAGAAGAGAGACTACAATAGTGGTTGGAGGAGAAAGAAAAGAGACAAGATAAGAGGCTCCAGCATTGGTTGGAGGAGAAAGAAAATAAACAAGAAGAGAAACTACAGCAGTGGCAACTGGAACAAGAAAGGAAACAGAAAGAAACAGTTACAGGAAAGTCAGCAGCAACTACAGGACATTCAACAACAGTGGCAAAAAGTACAAATGGAAAACATTAGTAAATTTCAAAGTGAATTAAATACATTAAAGAATGGTTTACTGTC